GCCCATAGGCTGGCAGCCTACTATAAGTCAACACTCTTCCTTGCCTTTGTGAAATAAGCCTGCGAGAAACACTTCCAGAGAGCAGTGTCTTCCTTCTTCCTCTTTGTGAGTTCCTTTGTGGTTAGAAGAAGAGAGTTTAGAGATAGGTGTGCTATAGCTTCCCCTAGAGTGGTGTATGTGAGTAGTATGTGTAGAAAGACCTGAGCCGGAGACGGAATCCATACCTTACAGTGGTATCAGAGAGAGGTTCGCCGTCTGCCGCCGTACGCCGCCGCCGCCGCCGCCGATTGGAGCTCGTCGAGGGTCGCTGGAGCTGCCTGGTTGTTCGCACGAACTCACTGGCCTTCCACCGTGGCTTCTGCTTGTCGAATTCAGGCTTGCCAGAAGCTGGAATCCACCACCCCGTCGCCTAAAAGCTAACCACCGCCGGAGTTTTCTGGCCTTTCACCGGAGGGACCTGTCGCTTGGAAGCTTGTCACTGGAGCTCGACGCCGCAGGGACGCTCGCCTCAGGAAAGCTCGTCGCCGGGGTGCTCGCCTCTGGAGCCGCTGGTCGTCGGTGTGCTCGCCGGCCATCTTCCGTCGATGGAGTCGAGGCTGACAATTCTCCCGATTTCCTTCGTCGCAGGCCTCGCGTAGATATTACGCAAGAGAGCTGAGGCGCTGACCTGGACTGGAGCTGTTGGTCTTCTTGTGGACGGGCTGGACTGCTTCTGGGTTATTAGGCTTGTGGGCTGGTGCTTCTGGAGTTGCTGGCTGCTGAAGGACAAAGCTGGGAGTTGGACTTGAACCTGGGCTGTTGGGCTGGAGCAGTCTGCTGGGCCGCTGGGTTGGGGTTGGACTGCTGGAGCAGGAAGCAGTCAACTGCCGGTCAAACGCCGCCGGTCAACGCCGGTCAACGGCAGTCAATCCTCCAGAAAAATCCCAATTTTTTAAAATTTGGGTAGGTAAGGTCGAAACGCTCTCCTAGGGTTTCGCGAAGGTAAGTTTTCTGTAAACTTCCTATTTGTTATATTTCAGTCTTAATTTAATTTAATTTATTCCCCCTCCCCGCGGGCCGCCGGTTGATTTAATCCCGGCCGCCAACCCCCCAGGTACTTCCTAAACCCTCTACTTTGTGGTTGATTGTTTAGTGTGTTAATTGATTTACTAAGTGTTATTTAATTTAATTGTTATGCGTAGGGGTGGTTTATTGGGTGGTAGGGGTAGAATTAATTAATTTTAATTTTCTGCCCGAAATTGTTTAATTGCCAAAATGTCCAATTTTTGCTATGTGGTGCATGCTGCCCGGGGTTATTAAAGTGAATACTTTATAGCCCGGGTTGGATTATTTTCTGTCAATTCAGTCTGTTTAGCTTTGTGTTCCTTTGTGGTTGATACCATGGCTGCAAATCAGTATGGTATGCTTCCATTTAATGGAAAAACAGATTTTGATATTTGGAAACAGAAAATTAAGTGTGTTTTAATACAGCAAAAAGTTTTCAGAGCTGTCACTGGTATTTTCCTTGAATCAGAAGATAAGGCTAAGCAAACTGAAATGAACGAAACTGCTTGTTCTACTATTTACTCTAATCTGTCTGATTCTGTGCTTAGGAAAGTGGGTATTCTTGAGTCCGCTAAGGAGTTGTGGGAGAAATTGGATAGTCTCTATACTGATACCTCTTTGCCCGGGAAGTTGTTCTTACTAGAGAAATTCTTTAGGTTTAGGCTTGACCTGACTAAGGATATAGATGAGAACCTGGATGTGTTTAATAAACTGATACAGAATATCAAACAGGCAGGTGATAAACACATAGATGATTATACTCCCATAGTATTACTTAATGCCATTCCCGACTCTTATAATGATGTTAAGTCCGCTATTAAGTATGGTAGGGATGAGATTTCGTTAGACATTGTTGTGAATGGGTTAAGGAGTAAGGAATTAGACCTGAAGCATGCTAGGGGTAGTGCTAGTCAGTCCAGGGACTCCGGTGAGGCTATGTTTGTTAGGGGTAAGAACACTTTCCTAAGGGTAGGTCTAAGAATCCTAAGCAAAATAGTCAAGGTAAGAACGCTAGTCAGCCTGGGAGGAAGAGGAGCAAATCTCGGAAGAGAGTGTGTTACAATTGTGGTAACGCTGGCCATTTCATTAAGGATTGTCCCCACCCTAAGAAGACCGAGCATGCTAGTGTAGCTGTTGATAAATGTGACCTTGGTGATATTTTGATGGTTTGTGACCATGTTAATTCTGTGAGAAATTCACTGTCTGAGCATGAATGGTTGATTGACTCTGGTTGTACCTATCACATGTCCCCCTTTAGAGATTTATTTTCTACTTATGAATTATGTGATAGTGGCTACGTTTCCTTAGCTGATAATAAGAGATGCAATGTGCTTGGTGTTGGTGATATATGTCTGAAGTTTTCTTGTGGCTCTGTGTTTACCATTAAGAATGTGAGGCATGTCCCTGATTTGTGTCATAACTTGTTATCTGTTGCTGCTTTGGAAAGTAGTGGGTTACAGGGAAAATGGGGGAATGGTTGTATGAAAATCCTGAAAAACTCGCTTGTTTTGTTTAAAGCTGAGAAGGTGAATAACCTTTATGTGTGTCATGCTAAACCTTTTGCTGAGTCTGTGAATGTTGTATGTTCTGATAAGACCTCTTTGTGGCATAATAGGCTAGGACATATGAGCAATAAGGGTTTAGATGTCATGCGTAGGGCTGGTTATTTTGGTAAGGACTCTGTGACCTCTGTGCCTTTCTGTGAATCATGTGTGTTAGGCAAGCAGCATAGAGTCAGTTTTCCTCCTTCCTCTTACCCTAATCTGTCTAAGTGTTCGTCTGTGCTTGAATATGTTCATGCTGATGTTTGGGGTCCTGCCAGTGTTCCTACCCACGGGGGTAGGAAATATTTCCTTTCTATTATTGATGACTTCTCTAGAAAGGTGTGGGTTTGCCTTTTAGAACACAAGTCTGATGTGTTTGTGAGGTTTAGGGAGTGGAAAACCCTAGTTGAAAACCAAACTGGCAGGAAGGTTAAAGCCCTTGGGACCGATAACGGGTTAGAGTTCTGTAATAAGGAGATGGATAAGTTGTGTGTGGATTGTGGGATTAAAAGGCACAAAACTGTGCCATATACTCCCCAACAGAATGGGATAGCAGAGAGAATGAATAGGTCTCTGTTGGATAAGGTTAGAAGCATGTTAGCTGCCTCTGGTTTGTCTAAGAAATTCTGGGGTGAAGCAGTCACTACTGCTGCCTATTTGGTTAATAGGTCCCCGTCTGTCCCTCTTGGTGGTAAGTGTCCTGAAGCCGTCTTTACCGGTAAGCCTCTTGATCAGTCTAACCTTCGGGTGTTTGGTTGTGCAGCGTATGCACATCAACAGGGTGACAAGTTGGATCCTAGGTCTAAGAAATGTGTCTTCCTAGGTTATCCAGAGGGGGTAAAGGGTTACAGATTATGGGATAGGAACCAGGTAGGTTTTAAAGTGGTCCTTAGCAGAAATGTGGTGTTTAATTAAACTGATTTTCCTTGCTTGACCGAGTCTGTTTCTAATCCTGAGTCTAGGTCTGATAGTACCCCTAGTGAGGTGGAGTCTGTCCCTATTGTTGCTAGTCCTTTATCTGTTGATCCTGTTATTTATGATGATATTGTTATGCATGATTCTGATTCCTCTGAGCATGATAGTCCCACCACCTCGAGTGAGGTGGAGCATTTGCATGATACTGAGCATGATTTGCATGATATGGGTGCTGAATCTGATTTTCATGATAACAATAATTTGCATGAGTTGCATGTGGAGCCTAGTAGTGATAATTTGCATGATTATCAACTTGCTAGAGATAGGAGTAGAAGGGCTATCAGGAGAACTGCTGATAGTATGCCTGATTATGCTTTCATTGTGCATGATACTTCTATGTTTGCATTTTATGTGTTTGAATCCCTAGAGCTGAATGAACCCAAGACCTACCGTGAAGCCTTAGGTTCCAAAGAGTCTCAGAAATGGATTAATGCCATGAAAAGTGAGATGGACTCTTTGAGAGTGAACCAGACTTGGACCCTTGTACCTAGACCTCCCAACTGTTCCGTAGTTGAGTGTAAGTGGTTGTTTAAGGTTAAGGAAGAACCTAGTGATGTTAGGTTTAAGGCTAGGTTGGTTGCGAAGGGGTTTACTCAAAAAGAGGGGGTAGATTATGCAGAAATCTTTGCTCCTGTTGTTAAATTCACCACTATTCGTATGATGCTTGCTTTAGTTGCTCACCATGACTGGGAAATGAAACAGATGAATGTAACTACTGCATTTTTGCATGGTGAATTGGATAAAACAATTTATATGACCCAGCCTGAGGGCTTTGTGGATCCCAAGAGAAGTGAGCATGTCTGTTTGCTTAGGAAGGCATTGTATGGCCTGAAGCAATCCCCTAGGCAGTGGAACATCAAATTTGATAAATGCATGATATCTTTGAAGTTCCAAAAATCTGTTTGTGATCATTGCCTGTATTTCAAAAATACTTCTTCTGTGCCTGTATTTTTGTTACTCTATGTGGATGACATGCTGATAATTAGTCCTTCTCTGAATGCTATTAAAGATGTGCAAAAATGTCTTTGTGCGAATTTTGCCATGAAAGACCTAGGTGATGCCAAGAGGATCCTAGGCATAAACATTGTTAGGGATAGGAGTAAGCGTACTCTTACTTTGAATCAGATTTCTTACATAGAAAAAGTTTTGAGTAAATTCAATATGTTATCTGCTTCTCCTGTTAATGTCCCTATGGCATCTCACTTTGTGTTAAGTAAGGACCAGTCTCCCAAGACTGCTCCTGAAATTGAGAAAATGAAATCTGTGCCCTATTCCAGTGCAATAGGGTCAGTGATGTATCTTATGGTTAGCACTAGACCTGATATTGCATATGCGGTTAGTTGCTTGAGTAGATATATGTCCAACCCTGGTTTGCCCCATTGGAATGCTCTTAAGTGGTTGCTTAGATATCTGATTTCTACTGTGAAGCATGGATTAATTTTCTCTAAATGTGCTAGTGGTATTGAATTGATTGGTTATGTTGATTCTAACTATGCAAATGATAGAGATAACAGGAAGTCGACCACTTCTTATGTTTTTACTTTGTGTGGCTCTTGCATTAGTTGGAAGTCTCAACTACAACCTATTGTGGCCCTTTCTACCACTGAGTCCGAGTATGTTGCAGCCACAGAAGCGTTTAAGGAAGCCATCTGGCTCAAACGCCTTGTCTCCGAAATTGGGTTTCTCAAAAAGGGAGTTACCATTTTCTCGGATAGCCAATTGGCTATCCAACTTTGCAAAAATCCTGTATTTCATGATAGAACTAAGCATATTGATGTTAGGTTCCATTTCATACGTGATATTGTTGATGCAGGTGGAGTCAAGCTGTGCAAGATCCCATCGGAGTTTAACCCCGCGGATATGGGTACCAAGTGTCTTTCTGCTGAGAAGCACTTGTCCTGTAAACGCGTGTTAAACTTTGACTGTGGATAACTGTGGGTTGCGTAATAAAGTGTTTGCCCGTTGTGTCTGTTGATATTCCGGGCGATGATGAGTCTTGTCACAACTTTGTATTGTTACTCTACACCACCTAGGACCAATAAGGTGGAGAATGTTGGAGGTATTGGTCCTACCAAGGCCTCCCTTCCACTTTATTAGCTGAGGCTTGCACCCTATTAATTTACTCCCTCTTTGACACCTTTACCTTGGTATATTACCTGATCAATTATATACCTGGATTGCTACCCCATTGCTTCTGTCCGCTGCAACCTGTTTTTTTGGCTTAGCTTTTACCCGTGAGTGTCCTTACCACCTTGTGATTGTCCTTGTTGTCTGCCCATAGGCTGGCAGCCTACTATAAGTCAACACTCTTCCTTGCCTTTGTGAAATAAGCCTGCGAGAAACACTTCCAGAGAGCAGTGTCTTCCTTCTTCCTCTTTGTGAGTTCCTTTGTGGTTAGAAGAAGAGAGTTTAGAGATAGGTGTGCTATAGCTTCCCCTAGAGTGGTGTATGTGAGTAGTGTGTGTAGAAAGACCTGAGCCGGAGACGGAATCCATACCTTACATTACTGTTTTGATCTGAGCCAAACCACACCGAAAACATTTTGAGTCGTCCTACTATTTGAACACTGGATGAAGAATCCTAACTTCGTTGAGAACCGTAGACTTGATTACTTGAAGGCCTGAAGAGAGGTTGAAAAGTGCAACAACATAACAACACCCTAATTGAGATGAAATAAGGATATGACGTGAAAGAAATCAACAACTAGTCAAAAAAGCTTCATGTAAGCTTCAGCCTTCAACCGATTCTTCTAGGTCTTATTTCGGTCATTTGAAGCAGTATGATCGTTTTTTAATACTCCGTACTTTGCTTGCTATGTTGATACTTAATTTATTAGTAAGTGGGTAAGAAAGTTTAGCTGATAGTTTGAAAATAGTAGAAGGATCTATTTAATCATTTTCTCTTATTCTTATTAAGATGGCATTCTCGCTCAAGGTCAAAAAGGGACCACAGCTGCGGCTCATCGGAGGATGGTGGCAGCGAACTCGCAGAAGGGTGGTGGCTGTTGGACCAAATATTTGACGGGTTGATTCTACATATGTTGGCCGTTAGAACGTTTTTATGTATTAATATGGTCATTAATATGATTAAGGAGATAGTTAATTATAGCTGACAAGTATTTATGACGGGTCTAAAACCGTCGAACCAATCCATCGGCCAACGACGGAATGATCGAAACGTAACATTGTGATGACATGTAACGTTACTCATTTATTATTATGTAACCTTGGTAAATTCAGGTATTAATGCTAGAAAGATTCAAGAAGCAGAAGAGCTAGTCTGGAGTGACACAACCATTGAACACTACTATGAAATACATCTAGATTTCTTAAGGATTTGATATTTGATCATTGTTTCTTTGATTCTTTATTTTTTCTTTGATCCTTGCACATTACCCAAATGATGTATCGTTTCTGAGCGTTCAGATCATATTTACGTAGCTTAGTTTAAAAAAATAGCTTAAATAATTTGGCACCGTCTGTGGGAATCGTGCAAGAAAAACTATCATTTGGAGCATTACTCTAACAGCAGGTGTATCATTGTGTGTCACCATTTGATTTTCGAGTAGAAAAAAAGCATGTAAACTTACAAGTATGCATACAAAATTGTTGATGCAAACACTATACGTGTACAATCCTCTATCAAAACAATACCAAATGCAAAATTAGCCACTCATGTATTCAGTGGCGGATTTATGTTTCATGTTTTGGATGTTCATTTTTTTGTAGAATTAAAATTTGAAAGGACAAAAAATAATTAAATTAAATTTATACATATATACTAGTATGTTTTTCAAAATATTAGGTGTTCAATTGAACACTTTTGCATCATAGGGCTCCGCCACTGCATGTATTGTAGGTACGGACTTAGGACACTCCCGGCTCCAGCCCCGACCTTGTGGTCCTGTAAAAAAGCATAGTACAAAAGTATATAAGTTTTGTCAAAATACACAAGAATATTGATTACCCAGTAAACAGGAAGATCAAATATAATCAAAATAGAAAAGCAAATGAGTATGTCAGTAGAACACCATCATTTTTGTGAAAAAAATGCTTCAAGGTGTGTTTTCACTTTAACGGGTTAGAGGAAGGTCTTAACTCTTAATGAGTGCTTAGAGTTTTAAATAACATATTCGCTGTCGCTTTTGTTATCTAATAAGCTCTTCTGAAAAGTGATAATTCAGTTAGAATTAATCATTGACTTCTAAATAGATTTAGACTTTATAGATCCTTCCATTTGCAACAATGGTAATTAAAAATGAATCCTTTCCTATTTATAGAAAATGCAAAAGGTAGTAAAATAAAATAGAAGAGTTATATTTAGGTAGTGAAATTTGATATAAACTCATCAACACATAACCAATGACATTTTCTACTGAAACTTTAATCCAAACTATCAAAGTTTACCTGGTTTAGTGGGCTTCAGGTCTTCTGATTACTAAACGTGTGCTTCCTACCGACTTGCTCAAACAAGAATCTAAATCAATTCAACCTTAAAAAATATGTGATAAAAACAAAATAAATAAAGACAATTAGAGTAATTCAATATACCTCATTTGGAGCATTACTCTAACAACAGGTGTATCATTGTGTGTCACCATTTGATTTTCGAGTACAAAAAAGGCATGTAAACTTACTAAGCCATACTCCATGATAGCCCCAAAAAACAACTAAAATATATGCTACTCCGTAAGGATCTAAAAATTCATCTACTTGAATTACATGGGGTTGTCATGAGAACTTAGAAAACAATTTAGTACCTATTTATAACAAGTTAATAGAACTTCTATAACTCAATTTAGTAGTTTAACAAACTTCTTAAAACTCAATTTAGTGCCTAAAATTACTAATCAGTAAACACAACTTTTGTTGGAGCTATGTTTGTATCACCTATACCAATTTGATATCATTTCACTCCACAATGATTTCACTCTAACCCTACTCAAATCCTAAAGTAGCAGGTTATTATTCAATAATCACACATTAATTAAACACTATTAACAGTGCATTTTCCTTGGATCGTCTACCACATGTCCACCTCCTCTCAATCTTCACACCCGGACAGTTACCGACCAAAACCCCTGAACCTTAACTGAACTGGCACACATGTTAATTTTCTTGTTTTGGTTCTTATTTTATTGTAATATCAAGAACCTAGCTCCTAAGAATCACATTCATCTTAGCTATTGTGCTAATTACTTTACTAAATATGCTCTTTGATATAAACTTTCTGCTCCTTAAACCCCTGAATATAAATTTGGAAATGCCTATAACCCTTATGCTTATGAAATGCTAGTAACTGTTAGCCACTATTGTTATTATTAATATTTTATGTACATAATATTTCTTTGTAACATTTTATCATGTACGTACATAGTGGTTAAGTTAGAATAGGATAGATATTCTCATTTAATGAGTTTCCTTTCTTTTCTCCTTTGTAACGCATGGCAGTACAACGTACATGGAAAAGTACACATGCGTTCTTGTATATATGGCATCGATCATTCTCTGATGATGCAGACCGAAATATAGAAAATTCTCTCCATATCTCGTGTGATTTTACAGTAACTGCCTAACTATAAACTGTAAACAAGCACGCTATATTGGGAAAACATTTGCATGGTCAATATTGTGCAATTGAGTAAAGAGAAAGGTGAATTAAAAATATAAGAAACGAGAGAATGAGTATAAGGATTACCTGAAACTGTGAAAGAGAAAAAAGAGTGATCGATAGGAAAAAAACATCTACCAACAGAACAATATATACATTTATAAGGGGGAGGGGAACGATTGGAGGAGAAAGATAAGTCAGAATGGAGCAGATAATTTCATTTGGTGACAAGCCACAGGTCTCCTAGAGCAAAGAATCTCCGATCAATGGGTTTCACGTCAACAGGGGTGGTTATGACTGCTTTGCGATTGAGGACTCTCTTCCACATCCATCTTAATGATTTGAGATGAAACCATTAAATGGCGAAATGAAATCAGACATGGTATTCGGCTTTCCTCTGGTATACCATGAAAAAAAACGAAAATAGTGAAGTGAAGAGGCGAATAAAGTGCGATGAAGACGGGATGCATGTGGTCAAATGGGCCTGAGCTGTTAATACTGGCTAGGTGCTTGAGGTTATACTAACTGGTGTTAGACGGCGTTTGGTTATGCATATCTACCGGTGGGATGAAGTACACTTACCTAGACATTTAGTACATGTCAATTTAGCTATACAATACCACCAACAAATTTTTAATACCCAAAATAGGTTTACTCTCATTCATGCTTATTATTTTGTAAAGATTATGTAGTAATATTAGCAAACTATGTGAATTTATATGAGTTATAGCGATGGAATGTGGATGACAGTTATGGATCAATCAATTCACATACAATTTCGGGCCGGGATTGAGCATTGCATGCAATATACCCTCTTCAAATTTATCTTCGAGCTGCAGACTCGATTAGGGTGGAATTGTGGCTCGTAGACGGTTTCACTGTAAATCAATTAGACATATTAATAACCGTTAAACTAAATAATACTCCGTAGTAATTTAACCAAAATACAAATGGTTCAATAACCATCAGACCACAAACAAACAATAAAGAGACAGAAGTGCATGTTTGAACGGAAATGTTTAAAAACTATAGAGCATCATATATTACAATAGGTATTACATATTTAACTGAAGTGAAATTAAGTTCTTGAAATAAATTCTATAATCAACTTAACCATTTGGTGATGTTACAATCAGAATTATATGCCAAATTTAGGCGGAGAAAGAGTCAATTTGGTAACACCGAAGTTTGCTGAATCGGCTAATTCTGCTGAAAATGATTAAATTCTTGGTGAAGTGGTTGATTCTGTTGAATTAAGAAAAAAATATTAAAAATATACTATGTATTCTATAATTAAAATAAAGAATAAGTTATATGAAAAAATAGCAAAAAACAGTTCTCTATAATAATTGTAGCCAACTCAGCCACAAAGTAACTTCAAACTTACTTATTTGGCTAAAGGGTCAAATAGGCCCTTGAACTAATTAAAGTGTTCAATTAGCCCCTTATATAGGAGGTTCAGCCCGGCCATCCCCAATTGGGGAGGTTCCCGGTAGAATTTTTTGATGAAATTTTTTTAGCATCTTCTTCATTAAGTCTAGTTTACCCATATCAAATTTCAGCTAAGAATTAAATGTACTGCGCTCTTTAACTGCGCAGTTATCTTCAAAAAATCATTTGACTTCCTTCCTGGTTGAATTTTTAGCTGAAATTTGGTATGCGTAAGCTAGACTTAATGAGCAAGATGTTCAAAAAATTTCATTAAAAAATTATATCGTGAACCGCCCCAAATGGCGACGGCCGGGCAGAACCTCCTATATAAGGGGCTAATTGAACACTTTAAGTTAGTTCAAGGACCTATTTGACCCTTTAGCCTACTTATTTTGATTATCACACAATTTAGGGCGCGAAATAAAAAATTGCGTGTTTGGTGAAAACTTGACTGATAAAGCTTATAAGCCGCAAATAAGGGTCACCAAACGGGCTCTTAAAAACTCAACTCAAATACATTGAATTCATAAATGAATAAATCTTTAAAAATCCAATAGCTTGAATGAACCATAATGCATTCCAATAGCTCTAGAAGAAAAGCGGCAGAACAATATGAAAACCAAATCCCTAAAACGTGGTAGAGGATTCATGAAAGAGATAGAATTATGTGTTCTTTTTCGGTTATAGTGTGATTGAGTTCACGATGTTTGTGGTTTTAGTTCTATCAAGGTTGACAAATTCAATTGGCATAGTGGTGAAAAACATATGTAAGAAACGTAATTTATCTGGTGCATTAGCTATCTTATTAGCATTAAGAAATGAAGGAAAGAGTTAGCTATCATGCTCTCGAGAGCAAAGTATTTTTTTTAGATGCCACATAAAAGGAAATGGAAAATAGCCCCAAATAGGAGCAAATTGATGCTGAAATTCCTAAATAGGAGTGGGTATAATATTATTCCATAAATAAAACCTTTCTTCCCATTTTAACCTTCTATAATTCATTTCAATCATCCGCATCTTTTAAGCTCTGTAGCACGCACACAGGGGTCTTCCTTGCGCATAGCAGGGCTTCAATGCCAAGCGGTGGGTAGCAGCTAGTGCCGGCGAGCAACTAGTGAC